GAGATTCCACATAGTTGTCCTATTGTTCATTAGGACAAGTATGTCCTAATGAACAATAGGACAAGTATGTCCTAATGGGGTGGAGTAGGTTGGGATGGAGGAGATGGGGGTGGAAAACTAAACTAAGATTTATAGAATACTTCATTGATCCCACAGTGGGATATTTACACATTACAACAGAAAAAAGGGAAAAAACACAGAGGCGGCATAAATAAATAAATAAATAAATAAATAAATAAATAAAGGTCATTTACAATGCAACAAAAGGTAAAATAAAGGTGACGTTATCTAAATCTGATTATCATGGATCAGGCAGGGAGGCGTTTTGTATCCTAACGGGGACCTGCTGGATCTCCTCCATTCTCTATGCAGTAACTATCTTTTGGACATAAAAGGTTTTTAAAAAAACAAACTTAAACGGGTGCATGACCCCCCTGCATCAGTCCCTGCTGGTGGGTGGAGCCCCGGACGAGGCCCAACATCTGGACGGGGCCCAACATCTGGACGGGGCCCAACATCTGGACCGCGGCCCACAGCTGGACCGGGGGGAGGTGGCCCTGGGGGAACATGTGACCGGAGGGGTGGTCCACAGCTGGAGGCGGGTCCAGGAGAGACTGCTGTCTGCAGGTAAACACCCAACCAGGAAGCCAAAGATGGATATCCAAATCCCCCCACATCCAAGTCGGCCATTTTGATTAGGTCACCTATAGAAAGATCCCAGGCAAGAAAATCCTAATTGCTTCATGGCAATATAGACAGTAGTTTGAAAGTAGTGAAATGAATCTTGCAAACACTGAATTAAAGTCTATACATAATATTATGTTAAAATAGTGTATGTTAAAAAGGTTTGTACAATAAGTCCAAACAAGTTTAACCAAAAAATATTTCTCACAATTCTGAAGGGTGGCGCGTTAGGGTTACGGTTGGGGTTAGGGTTAGAGTTAGGGTTAGGTTAGGTTAGGGTCAGTGTTAGGTTTAGGGTTAGGGTCAGGTTTAGGGTTAGGACATTGTTTGTCTTCCGATTTCGTCTAGACAGTAAAGATTTGTTTCCACCTCAGAAAGCTTCTAGTCACATGACCTAATAAAAATGGCCGACTTGGATGCGGGAGGAGTTGGATATCCAGCCGAGGCTCCTACAGACGTGTGTGTGTGTGTTTGCAGGTCAGTTGGACGCCGGCACCGACCACGATAAGCTGCTGGTGCAGCTGGAGGCTGAACTGGCAGCAAGTCAGCAGCTGGTGAGGCTCCAGCAGGACCTGCTGCAGGTACAGTCAGACCAGGCTTCCACAGAATAGTTTGTGCTATGACTATGTAAACACCGAACACACCAAAAGAAAGAGTAGACTCTCTTCTTTCACCAGGAAAAAAAAAATTGTTTCTACCTTATTCCGTTCTTCCTCGACTTGCGTCTCACTGGCGCCATTTCTCTCATAGCGAACCATTACCTTTTTCTTATTTGCCTACAGTCTATGCTCATCTCCCAATCAAAAGTGGCACTGCCCCCTAGAGGGTCAATTTGTTACTACATACTCTGTCTAGAAGCCGATATTTACAGACAAGCTTTAGCAGATCGTCCCCCAGCCTCTCGATGAAAAACATAAAAGACGTCTATAGACGTTTATGTTTGGCAGCCAATGAGCTAAACTCATTTTCAAACTCAATCCTTTCCACCCTCCTCTAACCCCACGTTTTCATGAGGGTGAAGGGGGGGGGAAACCCCAAAGTATAGAAGTGGTGGCCATGACGGGGAGGCTATTTTAACTATCCAGATGCTAATGAAAGGGCTCAAATGCTTCTCTTAACGTCTCCTTTAGTGCACAATACACCGGACCCTCCTTTCAATGGATGAACTGTGAATAAACAGATCCTTTTGTCCCAGCTTCAGCCTTTATGTTACGTAATCATATCCATCATTTGACCAAAATCGTCCTCAATTCAGGGTCCAAACACGTGTCCCCGGGGTGGCTCCCTCACAGCTCCTGCAACTGCTTTTTGAAACATGCGTGT